GCTTCGATCTTCTGCGCAGTATCAACAATCTCGCACGCAAGATCACGAAATGGACCAAGAAGGAGGATGCTCTTCTTCATCATCTCATGGCCTATGTGCACCAGTCCAAACATCACATGATGATTGGATGGGTCGGGAACTCCTTGGAGGACTCGTCCATCGGGCTGTTTGCAGATGCGGACTATGCAGGTTGTGGAGAAAGTTTGAAATCTACCTCCGGTGCTCATTTGCACATTCAAGGTTCTCACACAAGATTTCCCTTGGCGGGACTTAGCAAAAGGCAGGGGTGCTTGAGTCATTCCACACCTGAGGCCGAGATTGTCGCGGCCGACTTTGCCATGTCACGTCTTGGATTGCCTGCTATCACGTTGTGGCAGCAGCTTGGGGGGCAAGACCCCAACTTCGTCTTCTACGACGACAACCAGACCATGATCGGGGTGATTCGCACGGGCAAGAATCCGACTATGCGTCACTTGGAACGTACCCACGGCATCTGCATTGGTTGGATGCATTCTATCTTTCAGGAAGGTTACGTTTCTCTTGCCTATGAGGTCACTGCCAAGATGTCCGCGGACATACACACCAAGTCGTTCAAGGATTCTGTGTCCTGGACACATGCGTGTCAGCTCATCAACATTTTTCCGCCGGCTCTCATTGGCTCCCAAGAGATTATGGATCTGATGCGCCCTACTCATACCCAAAGTACGGATGAGAAGGGGCAACAGCATTACTCGTTCAAGAGCGAGGTGCCTTGTTTTCCTTACACGCAGACGCCGATCCTCCCTCAGGTGTTGTATCGCGCTGGATTGTCGAGTAAGGAAGGCTTGCAAGAACATGACAGTGTGGACCCCATCCTGGTTGTCAAGTTCCCGCGCATGTTGCGGGGGCCGCCTTCCGCGTTGCCGCCTGGTCGTTACCTTCGGTCGACTTGGATTCTTCGTGAAGGGCAGTGGCACCAGATGGAGGACCGTGCTGCTATCCTTGATCAACCGGGCAAGTTCGACCGCTATGTGGAGCGTGCTGTGTTTCAGTACCATCCGGTTCGGGGGCATTTGCGCCCAGCAGCTATCGCGGACGTCCTTGCGCCGCCGTTTTTGCCTCCTCCTGAACCGCCTTTGGGACAGTCTTATGTGCGCGCCCTGCCCGCCAAATGGCGAGCGGTGGTTGTCACACTGGCGCGTGCCATCCATGGGGGGTACCAGGGCTTTACATTGCCTCTTTGTTTCAACGGCCAGTCCAAAAGTCAAGCCTCTCAATTCGGTTATGACCAATGGTCGTCAGTGTACGAGGATGTATGGCATGATGCGGCTGAACAGAAAAGGGAATATCAAGGATATGATGGAGCAATTGTGCCTCACGTGGTCAATTTCGCCGAAAACAAACCCAAGGAGGGCCTGGTGATCCAATTCCTCGACCACGATGGAGGGTTGGTCCATACCTACAAGAATCCTTACAGCCGGTGGAAGTACCGTATCACTATCAAAGATGCTCCAAAAGCAGTGACGGTGTGGACATTGGTAGGGGTCGATGAGGAGAACTGGTGGAATGAGTATGCTCCAGGCAAGGATTGCATTGCACAGCATGCTCCCGATTCTCACTATGACCCTGGGCTGCAAGTAAATGTTCTGAGTATGGGGCGAGAAGTTGACGACGCCATGTGCGCCTACCTCTTCGATGTGGTGGAAGCAAGGAAAATCAACCCTAACTCCGTGATCTTCATTGGTGCAGGGGTGTTAGGCAAGAATTCGTGGCTGAGTCGGAAAATCGCTGACAACCCTGAAAGGGCCAAATTGCGGACAGACTACCCATGGGGGGAGGTCGTCCAAAGAATTGCGCGCAGAGCGGCATCATGGGGGTTCCAAATCATCATCGAAGTACCTCCTCGAGTACCAGTCCAGGAAACCAAGCAGTACAAGGGACTTCAGGAAGATGCCATGTGGAAGAGCATCAAGATCCAAGGATGCACTCACGGGCAACGTTATACCTTTCGGGATCCTGTATCTCCCGGAACCGCCGTCGAGCTCGGCTACTGCAAGGATGAATGGGAGTACATTGCCGCAAACGTCGCGTTGCATCCTAAGTCGTCTGACGTGTGCTCGTCCAAACATTTGCACATGACCGATTCGGACGCTAAGGATCGATCTGATAAATGCGAGTTGACTAGCCAAATCTCCAGGAGATTGCTTAAAGCCTTGAAATTTCAGGCAACGGGCGATGGGAGATTGGTAGCCATGCCGTCGAAGGCTGGTGGACGAAAGCCTGACCGCATGATCGTTGACCTATGTGGCTTGGGCAATGGCTACGCCGTGCCTAAGTCCACTAAGGGATGCGCTCGCATAACTTGCAAGGAGCTGATTGGCTCTAAGGCCGATGAGGACAGCCTTATCGGTGCAATGAAGGATGCGTGCCGGAATGACCTGCGCACACCTGTGCTATTCGTGGCATCGCTTTTGCGATCAGGTGCTGGTCCTGGAAGTAGTGAAGGGGCTTGCGTGGGGGGTGAGAAACGTTCCGGTGGGAAGTACAAGGTTTTCAGAAGTATCTTGAAATCTCTCAAACGCCTGCTGAAGAAGTGTGCGGAATTTTCCGACGTCTATTTTTCGCTTGACATGCCTTCTTCATGTTCATGTTGGTCTTGGCCAGAGTTGCATGCTCTTGTTTCAAGTGGCAAAGTGACGAAGGTTAAGATTGATGACCATGTTGGTGCTGGTGGCGATGGTGGTGGACGCAGGATCATGTTCTCTAACATGCCTGAAGCGGAACGTTTGATGGTGAGACTGGATGATTGCTTGGACCATGAATCGAAGAGCAGTTTGTTGCAACGCATTGATGTTTCATGGCGGTCGATTGCGAGGAATGTTCGCAGCCTTGTTCGAGCTCATGTCAGTGTCAGTCACGATGCACATGAATCTGAGGACATTGCATGGCAGCAACATCAGTGTGTAGACGCTGATGAAGGGGCTATTAGACAGCCCCAACTAAGGAACAACTAAGGTCTGACCAGACGGATCGGGGAAGGGTGCCTCTTACGGAGAACCCGGAACCGTGAAGTCGAGTAGGGTGTAGGGACTTCTCTCCTACGGAGGAAGGACCGAACCCCGAGCCATGGCTGAAAGCTACAATGCCTACGAGCTGGCCTTCGAAGGAGTGGACCACGAAGAAGTTTTCCCATCTGGTGGGATGCTGCGGACGTTTCTGAAGTTCCACAAGTTCCTGGAGATGTATTCTGGGGATTCGTCGCAGAGCGTTTCGCTCCCGCCAAAGATTACGAAAGACAAAGTGGTCGACAATGATCTCATTCGCACATGGGCAGCTTTCAAAGCACCTCCGTTGGTCTTGCTGTTCACGTGTGCAAATCTGTCGCCAGGAGGGGATCTTTCCATTCGAGTCCGAGAAATCCTCAAGGCTTGCATATTTGCTGCCCCGGAGGAGTACATGGACAAGCCCTATGGGGAGATACTCGCCATGGTCATCAAGTTTGGTGGAGGTCTCAAACACATTGTTGCTGACTACGAAGGGAAGTTCAGTGCCATCACAAGATTTATGGTGGACGAGGAAGTGATCCGCGATGATGCAAAGTTGGCTGTGGTTGAACTGGAACAAGAAAGAAAACAAGTTCGGTTCGACTTGAACACTGCGACCAGGAACATCGTCAGCGCGGACGTGTACTACAATCTCGCCGTTCTCATCAACTCCGTGGAGACGCCCTACCAGACCGTGACAGACACGAGAATTCAACAATGGTATACGGTGAATCAGGACTACTACCACAAGTTGCCCATGTCAGGCAGAGCACCTGACCAATCCGACTTGTTGGGAGAGCCTACGTTATGTAGGGTGTGCAAGCTGATGTACATGTTCGCAAAGCACACTGGGTATGGACTTCGGACCTACAACCAGGAATGCGCAGCGAGCAACGATGGCGCTACGCCAATCAACGTTCACCAGCTGGCTTTGATGATGCGCACATTGCCTCCCTGGATCACCGAAAGTATGAGCAATTATTGGCCCTTTTGGAAAGGGGCGTAAATGTCGTATCCCGGAAAGAAAGGGCGTAATTAGCGTAATTGTGCTAAGGCCCGTTTGCGAGCCTATTGCCTATAATGACCTGTGCCTCCCAACATTTAGTGAGAAATCTGGCAAACCCCATATACAAAGCAAATCACCCTGCCAGCAGGGGGGCCTCAGAAAGCGTGATGCACACGCCGTGGCTCGCAGGTCGTGAGGCTTTCCATATGCTGGTTTACATAGAAGATCAGATCCGATCGTATTATGGTGTTTTTTGGGTCGAGATTGCAAGGGCTGTGCTGAGGAGTCTATGCTGATGGTATATTCTAGTATATTTCCAGAGGAGACCCCGAAGCCCGAAGTAGATAAGACATGTAATAGTTCGTCTTGTGAGCACTAGGACAGGATAGCAAATAGTGGTGCAGAACTCGTGCATTTTAGCAGTGTCTGTGAAAACAGTGCAAGCTCGGTTGTTCATGGCTCCACATGGTACGAGCACGTACCCGGTCCACCTGGCCAAAATTGCGGGATCCTTGAACGTAGGTTGGTGGTTTTGCACAATGTAGGCCACCTCTGCTGCATGGCAGGTCCACCCTTGGCGACATGGCGGCGATTTGAAGGTGGTTGTGAAAGTAGTGTGCCGCTGGCCAGATTGCGAGATGATAATTGGAGTTCTGTGGACTAATATCGAAAGTCAATTAGTGTGCTTTCTGGCAGGTTCTCCGTGGAGGATGGTCGATGAAGCTTGATGAAACTGTGCATTCTCAATGACCTGCCGGCATGGGTTGAGTTTCACGCATGGGGCAGCACTGTGCAGTATGGCTGTCTCGGCAGGGCAGAGGATCGTCCCACCAATTGGAGTCTCGACAAGGCTCGGTCGCCTTTTGCATTGCATCGGTTGTCAGCTGTGAGGAGATTGACTACTGTTGTGCATTCTGTTACCGGGAAGAATTTTGGTTTTCGACGTGCTTTGCCTTAGGTTTGGTAGTGCCATGGCCGCGTCGGGCAGTGCATTCGATGCTAAAGGCTTCCAATGGGTGGCACAGCTGCCGCAAGCATGGGAGTCAAAGCGTCCTCTCCGAGAGCGCAGCCTGGAGGGCCGATGCCTCTTGCGTGGAGTGATTCAGCCAGGGCACGGTAACCGAGAGGTTGTGAAGGGAAATATCGAATGCTGCAAACTGAACAGCGATGTCCTGCTGATTCTGTTGAGGATCATGGCCGATGATGCTTGCATTTTTGTGCCAAAGGTGTTTCTGCTACAGGGAGCTATGTTGGAGTTTCATTGCCACGCCGGTTATCCAGATGCTGCATCGTTGGGTGTTGCTGCATACTCTGACGGATGGGGGTTGAAGCGCATGCTCACCTTTGTGAAGCGAAAGTGGATGCGTGGTCAGAACGCCCGCGAATCTCGATTGTACTAGGTTCGCTTGTTTCGTGAAGTCTTTTCGTTCGGCACTTTTGGTTCCGTGTTGTCACTACTTATCGCTTGTCTGTATCTGAGGACAGGACCTTTCGGAGGATGGTGGCTGAGTTCCAGCGAGCTTACGAAAATCTGACGAATGTAGCCTTGCTGAATGGGGTTTGCACAAGCATGTCTGTCTGTCAATCGCCAAGAGAAGTGTTCTTTCATCAAGGTGGTTGGGGAGCGCCTGGCCAGAGCATGGAGAGCTGGAGGTGACGACGATGACGACGACGATCCTGAGGAGTTTGGAGAAGCTCCGACTACCGAGGAGCCTCAGTCTTCGACAGCTGAGGTGTTTGCAGATCTGGATCTGCCCATGGAGAATGAGGAGCCGGAGGATGTGGAATACACGGATGCAGAGATGCCGGTTGCTCCGGTGACAGAGGACCGTGAGACCCCTCCAGCGGTTCCTGGAACGGCCCATACGGCCCCGGTAAATCATGTGCCAGAGGACAAGGCCCCAGATGCAGTGGTTCCAGAAACGGCCCCGGTAAATCAGGTGCTTCAGGACAAGGCCCCAGATGCAGTGGTTCCAGACAGGCCCCGTCCGGATGAGACTCCTTTGCTGCCTAGGCAGCCATCCGAAAAGGAGTTGGAGCAACAACTGGTCGTTGCCCAGTTGAAGCTAGAGGCCAAGCGATTGAAGCTGGGCTGCACGTGTTCATGCATGTTTTGATTGCACACTCTATATAAAAGCAGAGTCCACCTCAATAGTCGAGGATGGACATCGAGCGCAGACGAGCCGTGAAGCAGTTTGCCAGCACTCTTCCGAAAGGATACGGATTTTGGTTTCGTGTGTGATCAGTATTGTGCATGCATGCATGATTTCTGATATGCACATTGGGCATTTTGGAGGACCGATCGTGCTGGAGGATTCTGACGAAGAGGCCAACCCGGACTCTACGACGCCGTCTGTTGCAGCATGCCCCTCCAAGGCAGGAGCCAACCCGGACGCTGTGGAGACCCAGGCTTTCGAGCTGAACACCCAAGTGCTGAGTGAAGTCCTGGTTGGCTTGGACAAGGTTGTGCCATCGCCGGGCCGGAGGTTTGCGGATGATAAGACGATGGTTTTGAGCCCACCTTCCCGGGATGTGATGTCACCGGATGGCATGCCGTTGCCTGCATCCCGAGTGGACCCGGAAACGACCCCAAGCCCTCGAGGCATTGTACCGGTCGAAGTGACGCCCATGAAGGACTACCCCACACGGGACCAGCAGCTTGCAGTCAAGAGTTCGAACGATGCGGAGAAGAAAGCCAAGCAGGCAGCAGCTAAGGAGGCCAAGGCAGCCAAGGAAGCCTCTCGTGGGAGAGGACGTGGCCGTGGTGGCCGCGGTCGTGGTGGTGGTCGTGGGCAGAAGAAGCCCACGGATGAGGGCGCCGACGGCGCCGAGGACGAGCCCGAGGAGGTCTCCGACAAGGCCGTTGAGGATGGAAAGAAGAAGCGTGGTGGCCGCGGCGGCCGCGGTCGTGGTGGCGGTCGTGGGCAGAAGAAGCCCACGCCTGAGGTGGATGAGGGCGCCAACGGCGCCGAGGACGAGCCGGACGAGGTCTCCGACAAGCCTGTTGAGGAGGGAAAGAAGAATAAGGGTGGCCGACCCAAGAAGGTTCAGCGCGAGCCGGAGTCGGAGGCCATCGTGAATAAGAAGGCCCGTTGCGAGGCCGAGCCGGAGTCGGAAGGCATCGTGAATAAGAAGGCCCGTTGCGAGCCCGTGGACACGAAGACGAAGCGTGGCCGCAAGAAGGGCAATGCAACCCAGGAGGAGCCCACCGTTCCTGCTGCGAGGGTTCGTGGCAAGCGATCCATTGACAAGGAGCCGGAGCCCAGACCGAACAAGAAGCTGCAGACTTTGAGTGGCATGGAGTGGCCAAACACGTTTGCCCGTCGCTACAGACCCGCCAAGCCCAACTTTACGCAGAAGTTTTGGGAGGGATGTGTTTGTGCATTCCGCAATGTCTTGATGCCCCACCTCCCAGCGGGAACTGCAACAACCGCTCAGGCCCGGGGTTTGAGGTTTCAGGTTAAAGTTTATAACGGGATAAACTATTAGTGACGATCGGGTTGCATCAATGTAGGAAAATTACCCTCAGCATCCATCATCGAATGAATAGAATCGATGTAATGTAAGAACCCAATGTTACCCTTGAAACTTCCACCCTGGGATTGCCAACCGATTCTAACTTCATGCTGTCTTAGCAAGGATTGACTGGTAGCCCCATCAACAAACGATCCTAGCATCCTTAAACTTATCCACACCGGCCCTTTTCAGTCCGACTTCTTCGACTTCGCGAAACAGTTTCTTGAGCAGAACGATGACAAAGGCAAGGACGCAACTCGAGTTGTTGTGTACAAGAGCTGCTATTTGGCAGCCAAAGATTTTCTAGACACGATTGATGTCTGATCGAGCCGGAGCTGGATTGCTGTTCTTGATTCGCTCTAGCTACATAATGATGGGTACATTGCCAAAGCTCCAATGTGGGCGAACGTGATTTCTATCCTATGGTGGCTTCAGCTCCAGCTGCTTTGCACATGTTTGCATCCATCTATAGGATGCTCGGTGAACCCGGGCCAGTCGGGGTGCATGCTTTCTGGCTGTATGTTTACGCTGCCGGGGAAGAGCTTTTGAAAGCTCGCCAGGGTTGCATTGTGCTAGCGTGTGTACATGCTTTCAGGGGGCAGGCTACTGGCTCTCGATCAACCTAGATAATTCGATCGTCGAGTGCGATTCAAAGCTGTGCGATCTCCTTCATGGGTCATGATCACGGCTACTGTGTGCGAAGAGAAAGAACGCTTGCCCCGATTCATGTCAAGACCGAAGAAGTTCGTTTGCCTCTGCAAATATACTGTCGATTCTACTTCACGACGACCTCCGATCTGGCCAGGTCCGGAATTACCTTCGGCGGAAGGGTGCCAGGCAGCGGTTGCTGAGTCATGCAGCTTCAGAGCGCGAGCCAGCCAAGAGCAGCCAGCCTTGCCAGTTTAAGTTCCGATCAGTGTGATGTGCATGCAATGCAAACCATTTGTGATGCATGTGGCTGACACTGAAAGTGATGCCTCAGTTGGTCCAAAACATCGACCGAGATAGGTCTTCAGTGCTGACAGCCAAGCTTCATGGGCTTCCAGTTTCCTACAGATCGATGCACAAAGAGTGTCAGGTTTTAAGCAAGTCATATACAGCCTCCGCTGTCGCCATCGTTCGAATGGCGAAACCCAGATTTGAGGATGTAGCGCTGAGCTTGATTCGCCTCGGATCGCCCAAGGTGTCTGGACAAACATGTTTTGGGGTGTCTAGGATGGATTATAAATCTTAGGTTGCAGGGTTTGGGTTAGGTTTGAGGGTTAAGGGGGTGGAGCCCAAACTTTTCCAGAATTCCTCGACCCCAACCCGAAATCATAAAGCCATCTGTGGTGCCAGCTCAAAGTGCAAACCTCATGTGCCCCACAAAGCCTTCTTAATCCTATTTATAATGCAATGTAGGCACACCTTAAAACCCCAAGTCTCAGGTGTTCGTCCTTTGCATCCTGCTGCTCTTGTGGAACACCAGCATTGACTTTACCAAGGACCGGGGCCTTTGCTAGGGTTTGAGTTTTCAAGCCCTCTAGGATTTGATAAATGATATATAAGGAACCATAATTGTAGGTTGTGTATATATATATATATATACACAACCTACAATTATGGTTCCTTGCTGGCTTTATATAGCAGAATCATCGATCAGAAGACTTGAGAGCCCATTAAAGACCCAGGAGGCCTCGATCAATAATCTGTTTATAACGCGTTTCTCAACACACAAATCTGGGATTCTGTGGCAGGCACCATGGTAAGCCAAAGAATCATATACCTTCACACACAGTGTACTAGGATAACATAGTATCATATTATTTGTTTTATATGTATATAAATGAAACTAATTTATTGTATATATACATATTACGACATGACACACACATATACGCATGTATATGTGTCTACACAAACCTGGATCCTAGCTATGGGAAACTCCCGATTCCAATGCTAACCTCACACCCCAGGAGGTCGATCTCGCAGAGCTGTTTTCTGGATCAGCAACCCTCTCCAAGGAGTTTTATTACGAAGGCAAGGATGTAGCTGCTTGCGATTACAAGTATGGCCGGGGCATGGACATCTGCAAGCCTTCGGGCTTCGGGTCGCTTGATTTCAGATCTCTAGGGACTCTAGGGAGCAGCATCTCGTCGAGGTCAGGGTATGCCATAGGGTCTGAAGAAGCCAAGGACATTCTGCTCAGCAGTTCTTTGTGGTCGCCCAAAGACCTGTATATGGCTTGGAGTTTTGTGCAGCTCCTGGGTTTCGATGTCCCGCGCAACAACGAAACGAAGCTTCGCTAACCCTGAAGGTTATGCTGGATTCGAGAAAGTTAATCGTTCGAATGTCATGGCAGCAAGGCTTGGCTCAGTTAAATCATGTCGGTCAATGCATTACACATGTTCGGGGTCCGGGATTCTGTGGGTCAGGTCGGCCCTCATATGCTTACTGGCTACAAGTTTGGGTCAATGGTGGGTCGTGGAACAACCGAGAACATCATTGCTGATGCAGAGCCAACGCTTCCAGTGGCTCCAGGAGAAACTGCAGGCTACTTAGCCATAGCCCAGCCTCAGGTGTATTTGTGCTGCCATGCCAATTGAGGTTTTCAGATTCTATACTTATGGGGGGGGGGTATCTTGCCAGGTACTTTATTATCTTATTGAGGGATACCTTGGGAGCTTTCCGGTGAAAATCTTGCTAGGTTCCTAAATAGTGCTTGGAGGACATGTTTGCCGTTCTTGTCTGGTATCTTGTCAGGTTTTGCTTATTGAAGATTGTAATACTACCACCATGCAGTAGCAGGTAAACTACTAACATTCTATAATTTTAAATGTGTATATATGTATATAAAGCACTATACCTCCTACCACTTCCACTATACCACTTTACCGCAACGACTGCCACTATTGTTACTTAACTTCGTGGGCAGACATGATTACTACTACTACTACTACTATACTACTACTACTACTACTACTACTACTACTACTACTACTACTACTACTACTACTACTACTACTACTACTACTACTACTACTACTACTACTACTACTTTACTACTATACTACTACTACGACTACAATATATATATATATATATATATACACACTATATAGTACTATACAACCACGACTACAACTCGATCCTACCATAGTAGGATCGAGTTGTAGTCGTGGTTGTATAGTACTATATTGCTATAGCACATACTATATATATATATATATATATATATACTGCCAATACGACACCTACGACCTGATACTATATTCTTATCTACGGCTGTTATATGCTTGTTACTAGACTATATAGTATTCTAGTGCTCGTACTACTATAAAGAAAATAGTTGTACTGTACTGCTACTATTGTAGTACTATATAACCACGAAGACGACTACCACAATACTACTATAATACAACATACTACCCTACTACGGCTAGACCACAGTAGTAGTAGTAGTAGTAGTAGTAGTAGTAGTAGTATAGTAGTAGTAGTAGTAGTAGTAGTAGTAGTAGTAGTACAATTATACTACTATAGAAGTATACTACTATACTGCTGCTACTAGTAAAATATTACTATATTACTACTATACTACTATATACCACAATATACTACGATACTAATGTAATATACATATATACTATATAATATATAGTACTACTATACTACTATACTCCCGTCTCTTGCAGCCGAGGTTTATCGTCTGGATCTCTGGATGGCCGCATTTGGATCTCGCACCCCGAAGCGCTGCAGCCTGTGGAGCAACTCGCGAATTATCAGTCTTTTCTTCACAAGTAAGAAAATTCTACGTGGCACGGCAGATGCTAGCTCCAAGACTACGAAGCGCTATCGGAACGACAAGGGAAAGGAGTGTTACCAGGGTAATCACAATTTGACTGACACGGGGAGTCTTGGCTGCTGTTCGCACATTCCATGATTCAGTGCCTTCAGAAAACCATTGTTGCAACACTAGTTTTGCATGGTCCCTATCCAAGGATTTACACTCGTGAATTTTCGAGAAGAGCTTTCGAGATCATGCAGCGGGGCGAGAGGGTTCTGCCTAACTCCCAGTTTCCTCTCCAGGAGAAGAAACCCAATGAAGCCTTATTGTTGTTTCAAGCGATGGATGACAACGATGACTGCGAGGATGCTGCCCTAATCGAGGTGGTGCACTACCTTCGAGGATGCCGAAGCTTAAACATACCGCAGGAATGGAGACCGGTTCTGCCCCGGAAGCTATAACAATGCTGATCGATGGGTTATGCTGGAACAAAAGTAGCTAGCGGATTTTTCGTTGTGGGGTCCGTGGGAGCTATGCCAGGTTGTTGGGGCCTCCGAAGGTTTCTAACTTGGGTGGGTCCGTGGTTTCATAGGTCGATCATAGGACAATATGGTTTTGGATGGGTTTGGAAGAGCTTTGGGTCGTTGTGGGTCCGTGGGAACTAGCTATGCCAGATTTCTGGGGCCTCCGAAGGGTTTCTAACTTGGGTGGGTCCGTGGCTTCATAGGATCGATCATAGAACAATATGGTTTTGGATGGGTTTGGAAGAGCTTTGGGTCGTTGTGGGTCCGTGGGAACTAGCTATGCCAGATTTCTGGGGCCTCCGAAGTGTTTCTAACTTGGGTGGGTCCGTGGCTTCATAGGATCGATCATAGAACAATATGGTTTTGGATGGGTTTGGAAGAGCTTTGGGTCGTTGTGGGGTGGGTCCGTGGCTTCATAGGATCGATCATAGAACAATATGGTTTTGGATGGGTTTGGAAGAGCTTTGGGTCGTTGTGGGTCCGTGGGAACTAGCTATGCCAGATTTCTGGGGCCTCCGAAGTGTTTCTAGCTTGGGTGGGTCCGTGGTTTCATAGGATCGATCATAGGACAATATGGTTTTGGATGGTTTTGGAAGAGCTTTGGACACGAAGACCACAAAACCACCGAAAAGGGCATAATTTGACTCATGAGCCCGAACCCCCGAAAAACCCAAAGGGCCATAAATCTAGCGTAAACCCGACCCCAGAGAGCCAAAAGGCCATAAATACCCAATGCCCCGAGAGACCCGGAAGCGTAAAGGGCATAAAAAAGCGTAAACCGGCCACCGTAAAGGGCGTAAATTCCGTAGGAACCCGAAAAGGCCATAAAACCCAAACCGTAAAGGGCATAAATTCCCGAGGAAAGCGAAAAGGCCATAAAACCAAAACCGAAAAGGACATAATTTCACAGAAACCCGACGCGAGATGGGACATAAAAGAGCGTAGAAACCGCGTAGAAACCGCGTAGAAAGGGCATAAAAAAGCGTAAACTGTATAGCGTAATTCCATACCAGGTAGCAGCCAGCCCGAAGTCGTTCTGCTATCCGTCTGATCCAGGTCTGCAGGGTATGATAGTGGGCTCAAGATGCAGAGGCAGCCCAAAACGCTTTTGAGCAACGCTTGGTCTTGTGCGTCTTTGCAGAGTGGGACGGAAACGATGTTTGCTGCTTTTATAAAGCAAGAGCAAGCATTGCCTGACGATCCGGCCAAACTCCGTCAGACTGTCGAGGAAAGGGTTTTCGGTTCTCTTGTAACTAATAGGTAGGATCGTCTTACCGATGATCAAACCCTGGCAGGAACTACGACAGAAGCTCGGTATGGCCCCGATCAAGAAGGTGACTCCCCCAAGCTCGGTATACAAGTCAGTGACCCCATGCTCGCGAGGACCCCGAAGCCGATCCCGTGAAGCCTATGCAAGTGGAGGCCCCATGCACAAATCGATCCCACCAATCTCCTCAGTATGTTCCTGATCAGGAGACCAAGCCCAAGAGCGCCCAGGATCCAATGTTGGGGGGGTCCTTGTCTCTGTCTCTATATGACATGTTAATTATGCTGGTCTTGTGTTTCAGACACATACGAAGCCTCAGGAGCCGCGCCCGAATAACACCGTGGAAGCGACACAACTTGAGGCCCAACACATCTTGAGGCAATGCCATTCTGATGTAGTACCCTCCAGGAGACCCAAGTGAATGACACCCAGGATCGGCTCTTCTTCGATGCTGTTGCTTCCCAAATGAAACTAGGGTTGCCTCTCTGTCTCTCTCTCCTTACCTCCGTTGCTGTGCCTCTTTTTGTCGGCGACAGGCACCACCTTCGCCTTCACCTGACGAGGCTATCGTGGGCTACTAAAAATATTCGATCGACATATGCTTCTGCATGGTTCTGTCATCTTGTAAGGTGCCACGCCCGGAAGCTAAGCCCGTGGAAGCTACAGCACCAGAGGCCTGTATATATCATGTCAGCTGCAACACGATCGACATCTGCTTCTGAGCTACAAAGGTGGCACGCCCGGAAGCTAAACCGGTGGGAGCTACAGCACCAGAGGCCTGTATTATCATGTCAGCTGCAACACGATCGACATCTGCTTCTATGATTCTATGAGCTACAAAGGTGGCACGCCCGGAAGCTAAACCGGTGGAAGCTACAGCACCAGAGGCCTGTCTTATCATGTGAAACAGAAGATACCTCTGGCTCTTCTTTATCTCAGGAGACCAGACCGAACGACATCCAGGATGGAGTGCTGCTTTGCTATCTCACCAGCTCTCTCTCTCTCTCTCTCTCTCTCTCTCTCTCTCTCTCTCTCTCTCTCTCTCTCTCTCTCTCTCTCTCTCTCTCTCTCTCTCTCTCTCTCTCCGCCTCTCACTGTCTCTTCTCTCTCTCCCCCTCGAAGCCAGCAGGCACCGATTTCTTCACCTCCCCAGACTACCGTGTGCTCCTCAAGCTTTCATATGGGGCACTGGGCATTCTAGGGGTTTATGGTGGCATAGGTTTACAATATCCTCAAAGAATTGAAATATCTGTTAATTTATATTCTGTACCAAGGTAGTTGGGTTTCGCGGCTTTCGTATCCGTGTTAGATGAACTTTTTCGGAGGTTTTCGGAGGTTCCAACCCGAACCCTTCAGAAGCGCCCGTCATATCTATATATATATATATATATATATATATATATATATATTATGATATGCAACATACATAATATATATATATATATATATATATATGCATATATATATATATATGTCAAATCCCAATGCAGTGTATAGAGGTCGTACACAGGCCCCGAGCCTGGAATCTTGTTCAGTGACAATATACCGAACCCAAGCAAATCTTCCGTACAAAGGTATCCGGAAAATCTCAACGATTATCTGAAACAAATCCAATGCACTTATATAGCAGATAACCCCGCCGGCCTTACCTTACAAAAGCGCCACTTTGAGGCTGATCCTTCAAGGGCGATCGTGGCTGCTCCAGATGTCTCGCAGATGCCGAACCAGGCAACTTCTGACCTAAGAGTATATCGTTTTACTAAAAGGATTATAAGGGATTTTAGGGAACGGCATATATGGCTTTATATTTGCGGCTGAAGAACCCCCAAAGTTCTTGTACACCATACAATATATTCAGGAAACAAAGAGCCCAAATATGTGCCCCAATACCGATCGAAGTGAAGGAGTCTCGAGCTGGCTAGCATTATAATGCTAGATCGTCTCACAAAGCAGGCCCCCAACGCCCGATATTGTCAATTTACAAACCGTACTGTACCTATACTTTAATATCCCTGTAGAACCCAGTAAAGTCATACTCCAAGCTTCGGCGAGGCCCATCCATCGCCAGGGATGCAGTCGCCAGAGGAGGCCAGGCCTCTAGCATAGCTGTTGGGCCCTATCGTTACCACACATGTACACATGCACAGGCTCTTTGGGATTTCGATGCTTTGCCAGCCCCTGCAACCGCCGATGTCTCAGCTTACACTAGAGATCGATGGGCAATGCCAATTTAATTATGATTGTCCTTCGTCAATCTACTATGCATGCCAAGTGTAATATGCATCGACAGTAATGTACGCAGCTCTTGTAGAAATCAGATCATACATTTACCGTGCTCTATTCCATGTTCTCGCTCGTGTATAGAAATGAAACGCACCTAGGCCCGCGAGAAGCAGCTGTACGAGATTATCGCAAACATGAAGAAGGCAGTAGCAGCGCCCGGGACCCCGAGTATATTTGCACCAGTTTCCGTTCCGAGTTCGGCTCTTCAGTCGCACCAATGAAGGTTACTGCTGTGTTGCTGCCCTGGCTTCACTTTGTGTTTTGTGGCCTGCATAATCCTAGGCATCGGGAGAAAAGTCGCGACCCAGCCGACACGATTCTACGACATCAGTAGCTGCTAGCACTGCTACGAGTGAAGTGTCGACCCCGCCTCCGGTGAAGGATGCAGGGAAGCCGGTGCCGCCGCCTTCCTCGGGTGTCGTGGCCAAGGCATTGAGCTTTGGTCAGGAGGGCCCACTAGAGCCAGATGAGGAGGACGAGGTGGAGCAGAGTGCTGTCTACCGGAAGCTCTACAACCGGATGGAGGCTAAGATCCGACGTATGTGTACTCCCACTGCTGCTGCTGGGAAAATCTCCGCCACCCCTGAGCTGATCGATGATTGGAAATCAAAGGGGTACAAACGTACCACACTCGTGAAGCTGATGATAGAGTCTGACGGCGACAAGGTCCGAGAGAGAGAGAGAGAGGAGAGAGAGAGAGAGAGAGAGAGAGAGAGAGAGAGAGAGAGAGAGAGAGAGAGAGAGAGAGAGAGAGAGAGAGAGAGAGAGAGAGAGAGAGAGAGAGAGAGAGAGAGGAGAGAGAGAGAGAGAGAGAGAGAGAGAGAGAGAGAGAGAGAGAGAGAGAGAGAGAGAGAGAGAGAGAGACAGAAATAAAGAGGAAAAGAAAGATCGAGAGATTGAGCCAGATACCTATGTAGTAAGGTGGGAAGAATGACAAACATTGTCGCGAGGCCGTCTTCCAACACAAAGTGGAATCGTGGCGCAAGACGGAGCAGTTTCGCAAGGTTGCGACCAAGGGAGGATGGTTTAGTGAGCAGGACATGAAGAAGCCTGTTTCCGAGGGAGGTTTGGCCTACAGTACGTGTTTCTGCTGCACTCGCATATATCGTAAATCATCACGTTGCACCCACCCCAATTCTGAACACCATAGTGGCTGCTTGGTTAGCTGAGGCGAAAAGTGGCAAAGGTCAAGGAGTACTGCGAGAAGCATGGCTTGGTTCGGTGGCTTGTCTCCCTTCCTTGAGGGTTTCTTAACAATTCAGACACACACACACATGGACGATTCTATGCTATCTTCGGTGGGTTAAGAAAACCTGTGATGGGTTTTTAGGGCTCCTTAGAAAAATGTAATGTACTATAACCCTTGCAGCCCCGAACCTTAACTTCACGATCCCCTTCCTAGGTCCAACCAGTACGACTCTGAGGAGTTGGAGTACTGGGTGGATTTCAGGACGGAAGGCAGCCGAGGATATTCGGAAACCGACGGTACCATGGAAAGCCGTGTGGCTGACGCTACGGGTGCCAAGGGGTTTGCTATGCCGGCTTTGAATGATGATCCTGTTCCAGAACTTCCAATGGAAGGGCCTGGGGCACCGGGGCTCCGAGTCGAGAACGGCAAGGCCTATCTAATTGTTGTTGCACTAGGTTGCATGAGGCCCCCGAAAGCTTGTCTGTCATTTGCTACATTTGCAACCCTCCCCTACAGGGCGAGCAGGCAGTGTCGAAGATTATGGACGATGCTCTCCAGACTCGTAAGAATTTGGACAAACTCGTCGCAAAGCTCAAGAAAGAGAAGGGCAACCCCAAGAACCTTTCCTGCACTTTAATAATGCCTAAGCTTCCACCCCAAGATGCAGCCCCCGCCCGCAGCGCAGGGATATCAGCAGCATGGAAGACTGCATGGGCAAGCTGGGCGGACTCTACGATGAGCTTGCGGGGATCCAGGCTGAGGTTAAGGTTAACGGTATGGACGAGACGTTTCTCTGTCGCATTAGTAGGGTCGGGGCCTTCGAGTGTGTTTTGCTGTTGGCAGCGACTAGCTAGGTTGCAGAAGCAGCTGGACGACAAGATCAAAGCCGTGAAACGGCAGTGTCCTAGCTGAACAATGATCATACAAGTACTTTACACATAAACTTGCACACGTTATGTGTCGAATACAGCATGCTTAAATTGTATATCAGCTGAGGTGTGTCCTCGCGGTTTCCTGCGAGCTGAAGAACAAGTAGCTTGACGAATATTATAGGATTATAGCGGTTATAAATTAGGCTTGCTTATCCAGATTGGGGTTTATCGGGTTTTAGGGCTCCCTATCTCGATCAAAATTCCTCGTAAACCCTCTAAGGTCTCTGAAGCGCAAGGACGCCGACGAGAAACCTGACGACAAGGATACCCAACCAAAGAAAAAGCCGAAGCAAAAAGCCAGGCCTAAGGCAAAAGCCTAAGGATCCTTCTTTTGCAATGCCTGACATGGATCAGGATTTTGTGAAAGTTCAGTGTGAGATATCACATGGAACTCGCCGGGAGCATCGGAAGACCCTTTCTGCAAATCGAAAAAACCGGTGCTCGTGTGTGTGCTGAAGCATTCGTTCGCCTGTGGCTGCAATCGTCCACATGCAAGGTCTGCTGAAGCATACATGACTGTATTCTCGATCGAAGTTATAAATGAACTGTAGTAACTGTGGCGTGCCAGGTGCCGACTACTTCAAGGAGTCGAGCTACAAAGCACGGGATTACGTGCGCAGCTACGGCAAAGGTGCTGGGGTCTCAGGTGTTTGGCAGTTTCGCAGGGTTCGTCTGGATGGTTTTGTGGGCATGATTGAATAGGACTCATTTAGGGTTCGATTAGCAATATTACACGTACGGTAATATAAATTTATATTACCGTGTAATATTGCTAATCGAACCCTAAATGAGTCCTATTCAATCATGCAATAGTTTCAACTCAGGGGCTTGGGCTGGCACAATCGATATGTTAGTCTGCCAGGTGGCAAGGATCATGGGTCTTATTGGGTATGCAAGAATTGTTGAAGCTTACGACTTCGATGCCCCCATAAGCCCCAGAATCCTACAGTATGAACCAATAAATCGGTTAAGTGGAATAGTTGCCTGGAATACCCCCGCTAAAACCCTGCAAAACCAGCAGTGTCTTCTCTAATCAAGCCAAAACACACACACACAAAAAGTGGAAAGAACGCTAGCGAAATCACCGAACCATATACTCAGAATATGATGAATGCCATTATCACGGACAAGCCACTGTGCTCGCCCAGGTCCCGTCCAGGGACATCGTGGAGAGAGCCAGAGCCTGCGAAAAAGATGGGGACGGTGTGTGTGCAGTTACCAAAGCTCTAGCTAACGTTGCTGATGGTCACGAGGAGGAGGGTGTCTACAAAGTTCTCCTAGGTGCGAGACTTCTGGTAACAGTTCCGTGGACACATATCAATATCGGAGATGGCCCACTCGAGCAACATCCTGCTTTGCGACCGAGGGATTTTATTGATACACTGGCACAACTGAACAAGTTCCACTGTATTATAGGCACCGACTTGGAATGTGCCCCGAGAGTACTTCAGGACTTCTGGTGTAACTTCAAAGACCAATTCAGGGAGCATCCTGTATCGAGGGCCATCGATACATTGGACACAGGGCACCTTGTGCCGTTAAGTCTTCACGGCGACGGCGGCCGCACGTACAAGAAAAGCGAGTTGATGATTCTTCAATGGCAGCCGGCAATAGGTTCCGGATCTTCGAAATCGACGTCGAATCCCAAAAAGCGCAAACTTAGGGATGACATTGATGCTGCTGGTGTCAACTTACTTGGCCACAGTTTGGCTACGAGGTATCTGATAAGTGTGCTCCAGAAGAAATACTACATCGATGCTTCCGAACCTCTTCAATCTCTGCTCGGCCACATTTCGGATTGGTTCGGGGACCTGTGGGAGAATGGCTATGAGTTTCAAGGTCAAACCTGGCGGTTTATCCTCCTGGGGCTGAAAGGTGACCTGGTGTTTCATGCTAAGGCGGCTAACCTGGAACGATCCTTCACCCGAGTCCGTAAGAAGGCCAAAACTGCGAATTCTAAACCCCTCCTTGGATGCTGTCCCTGGTGTCTTGCCGGAACTGAAACAATTGCCTTCGAGTGTTTTGATCGACACGCTGCTTGGATGCAAACTACAGGGCCCCGGAACCCGATGCCTTGGACCACCGCACCATCAATCTTGAGATCGATCCCACACGCTCCTGATCAGCCGGCATTCTTGAAACCCGATCTGTTCCACATTTTGCAAATGGGGGTATACAAAGAGTATGCCGCGAGTGGGCTTTGCATGCTGTTGCCGCTTTGTGGTGGCACTTCTCAAGACGAGAATATGGCACTGATGAACCGCTATCTGGGGCAGTATGTCAAGGAACGGAAAGTGAATCTGCACATGTCAAAGCTCAGCTTGGATCTTATTGGTGCCAAGACTCCCACCACATATGCGTGTGGTGGCTGGAACAAGGGACAGGATTCCGTGATATTGATGGGCTTTGTGCTGTGGCTTGTGGGTGGCTTGCTTCGCTCTCGGTTTAAGCTTATGCAGATAAGATTCATATGGGGTTATTATTGGTGTTATCCCATTATAAGCAATGTTTTGAGCTCCGGTTTTTTCTGTTAGTCTCATCGAGACCGCAACAGCATTTCTGATGTAAACTTTGAAACTATGAGAAAACCCTTAAGGATCCCTATATAAGCCCACGATTCACAAGTCCATCAAGGTAAGCTTGATCTTCCTGCTCACGAAAAGCCCTGGAAATACCTCACGCAAGGTTCTGCATCTATGGAAACGGCAATGCGTATACTTTACTCGGAAGGGGCTTTCATGCCCAAGAGCTCGGCCAAGCAAGTTTCGGACGCCGGTTACTGTTTTTTGCTGTGCTATTCGCAATTGGTGCACTGGGCGATACAATCGAAGAAGCTGCTCTTCAACCTCGTACCCAAACACCACTACCTCCACCACGTTATGGAGGATTTGCGAGTTGCTTCTGAAGATCCCAAAGTGTCGCTTGTGTATAATCCTGTGGCAAACTGCACTTCGCAATGTGAAGACTTCATTGGCCATGTGGCCAGATTATCAAGACGGGTGACTCCAAGGTGGCCACACTCCCGAGTTTTACGTAGATATCTCGCTTTGCTGGCCGAGAAGTTGGGCATGCTCCCGAAATCGTGATAGGCTTCGATGTAAAATACTCCAATACTCCTTCAAACCTTATCAATAAGCCTCGGAATGCTGCTAGCAGCCCAAATGTCCTGCAGCCGAAGCAGCGCCGCACCGCAGCCCGGAGGAAATGCCATGGGAGGGGTTTTCGAGGGTTTCCGGGGAGTTTATATAACGGGAGTTTTGAAAGGTGGGAGGGTTTTCGTGGGTTTCCAGGGAGTATTGAAAGGTGGGAGGGTTTTCGAGGATTTCCAGGGAGTCTTGAAAGGATTTATTTATGATGTAGATCGCGAGTCTTACTTGGCTGCAGCAAGGCCACAGTTGGATCCCTCTTAAATAATCCTGAGAACCCTATATAGGCCATTAAGAAGCTTTGGATCCCTCTTATAAATAATAACCTTAAGAACACCCTTTTTAAGCCACTAAGAAGCCTTGAATCCCTCTTAAACGACCTTCAGGACACCCTATATAAGCCCCTAAGAATCAAGGATTTCAGGGGTTCCAGAAAGTATAATGTTGTTTGAGGTTTGCCATATGTTATGCGATCATATAGCATGATAGAACACTAAAAACGCAAAGGGGCGTAAATTCACCATTGCCGAACAAAGGGGCGTAAAAAAAACACAAAAACGTAAAGGGCGTATATCTGGCCACCTCTGGTGACCCAGGTCAAGGCATGGGACATCCGCTCGCCTTTGCGATGAACTCACTCCAGGCGTTCAGTGTCTGTCTCCACGTGCTTCATTCCTACGTATCATGGGTCGATCCACAAACTGGACTCCCGCATTACAGATGGTCTAACGACGTGCTCCCTGATTCCGACTACACCACGTATGCTTTCCTCAAGCACCATGTGGATGCAGTATGTGCAGCTCAGGACAAGAACGGTTTCCAATTGCCGGATGCGTTCCGTGGCTACACCTGGAATCAATGCGGAGTTGAATCTGGGTACGTGGTCGACTGCTCTACCAAACGCGCCACATTGGGCATATGGGAAGCGGAATTCCAACAGATGAGGGCACCAAATCCGCTTATGCAAGATGATGGCCTATTTCCGCCCAACCTTCAACGGCATCCTAGCTGGGTATACTCAACGGGGAGAGTTGCGATGCCTACGGCAAGCAACCTCGAACCGGAAGGAATCGTGCACCCTGAGCATGGAAGAACGCCGGAACAATCGCAAGGATCCGCTGCCGGACCTCGAGCCACCCCTAGCCACGGACCAAAGAGGGCAAGGACGGACGAGGCAACGGCATCGGCGTCGTCATCTTCTGCGGCACCTCCTCCACAACAACCGACTTCGCAGCCGGAAGAGGAACCATCGCAACCGACATGGGAGGAAGCTCCAATCCCCGCTGGCGCTCAGGAAAGTTGGTACCATTATGTCAACATCGATGAGAAGGGCTGTCGTTCGATCTTGCTGACGACGACCCGTGATCAAGACGAGTACCCACCTACCATTGATGAGACGCCAAAGTTTGTGGCCAACCACGACGTGGGGACCACACCGATTCAGCATTACGTCAGAAGACTGGTGACCTATTTGGCAAGGATCCGTTCCGTCTCTCAAAATGATGACAAGGGTCTCAACCTGAAGGTCTACGTGAAGCTGAGTACAAAGGTGTGGTTACGAATGTATTCACGGCTGTACCATGCATTGGCATTGGTATCATGCGTGCATCTTCCTTCTCCTCCAATGCTTACCTCGGCAGTGATGATCGAGGCAGACAGCGATCTTGTCGACAACGATGAGATTCCGGAAGAAGCAAGGATCAACACCATGAACACGCTGAACGGATTTCGCAATAGTTTGGGTATGGGTGGCAAACCCGATGCCGCGACTATGCGCTCTCAGTGCACAATCCTCGTCCAGGACTTTGACATGGTTGCAAGGACCAGGGGATCAACGCACACGGTGAGAGAGAACCTCGGCATGCATGGATGGAGCGAGGTCTACATTGTGAGCCCGTCGATCACCGCAGGTGCCAACTACAACTTCCAAGTCACAAAAGGATCGTTGGAATCTGTGAATGCGACATTGGATGGCTTGACTGAAGAGCAGCTTGCAACCGTCACATTGCATTACCATCTGTCTCTCCAAGCGATCCTCATCGAGAACATGTCCTTTCCGATGAGTGAGGTTGGAGACGGAGCAGCAATTCGCACTGACTTGCAGCGACAGCTCAAGATCACGTACGTTGACCCTATCATTGCGGCAGGGAAGCGTACCACGCGCCCTCCAATTGTCAACATCAATCACGACTTACGGTTCGTTGGAGCAGCTAGCAATTACCTTCAGCACAAAGCTTCTCTGTTCAACGGTTTCCACGCGCTGGGAATGTACATTGAACTGGAGTTGCGGGCCCGAGCATGCGTGGTGATTCATGGATCTTCGTTTTGGTCAAGAATGTACAGCCAGATGAAACATGCGTCGTCAGGCGTGCATACACTGTCAGCCGAAAAGGTGCCAGCACCGGACAATCGGGTCAGGTTCAAATTGGGCTTCGCTATCTACGAGAAGCAGCTGTTCTGCGAGAAGATGGTATCCACGTGCTTTGTTGAGGCATCGAAAGTTCGCTCATGGGACGAAACTGTCCGCGCCGACTCAGTCGCTCACCCGTCGCTTGTCGAGATTTGGGAGGACAAGAGTGAAGTCAAGACGTCCACCAGGATTTCGCAGACATGGTTTACGGGAGAACAGCAGCAACAGATCAGGTCGGGTGCCCAGGGTGACACGGTCGCTGAATCGTCCACAGTCACCTGGCAGGATTTTGACATCGCCATGACCGTTCCCGAAGCCTACTACGACAACAGGCACTACTGGTTCCGGATCGACACCTATGCGACCCCGAACACCGGTTATGTCAAAGGGAGAACGTTCTATTGCTCTGGATGTGACGCAATGAAGTTGGCTGAGTGCTACGCACAGGCCTTCTTCAAGCCGACCGGAAACGGGTATCCTGGACACTGCATTGGGTGCGCGCATACTTCAGCCTTGAAGATGCAGCATCAAATCGGCTCCTTCAATGACTTGGTCGCGTCCCAGAAGTACACCTTGGCTTGCGCAAAGCACCTTTATGACCTGAGGCTTCAATTTGTGGACCCTCGCATGGACATCAAGGAGTTCCTCAAAGCTTGTGCGGAAGTGGTCTACGAAGACATTGGCAAGACGGTTTCTCACTACGGTGGTCTCCGAATCACAGCCAGTCAGGCCATCGAGTACGCGGCATGGGGAAAGGCCAAACAGTTGGCATGGGACAGAGGGATACGATTCCGAAGGCAAGACATGCTACATCTGCTACTACGATGCCGGGAACTGCGCTTATGCTGGTTTCATGAGAATGCTTTTGACTCCGGAAGAGCGCCAAGAATGCTACAGAGGGTCAGCCTTGCCCAAGGAGGAACTCCTGGGTGACACGGTGGAGCTGGCGCTCGGGCTTCTTACAATTGCAATGAGACACCCAAGTCATTTTCCGAATTGGGGTGGCCTTGAGGGAGCAAATGCGTGCGTGAGGGGAATCGAAAGATCATTCTTCCGCTACGCGTCGGCCGAAGCTATCGAGCTGATCACGGTTGACTCCCCACGCAAAAGGACACCGCCCAAGAAGAATGAAGCGGTCGCTGAGATCGTCAACAACATGTCCGCTGACCTCGTGATTGATTTCACAGTGATCGTCGATGGTGATATCTACCCCGTAGAGATTGCGAGAACCGACGAGACACAGGCCGCTGACAACGTCACGGACGATCCAGGGTTCTCCGTTGCTCCACCAATACCTGCACAGGATGTAGATGTGGATGCGCAACCCGAAGAAGAACAAGGTGCAGAAGGCCCTGATCCCAGGCAGGCGATTCGTGAAGGATTTGTCGCACAGCTTCAGGACTATGTGGGAGTGCTCGCTCAAGGCGAAATGTCGGTCGGAAGTGACCGCCTCACGTTCTGTATCGCTTGTGGCAGTGATCTACACACTCTGTCCAATTGCACGGAAAATTCTGCAACCCGGGATCTGGTACTTCGAGGCATCCAGATCATCAAGGAAAGCCTTCTTCGATATCCACGTCGAGTACCTCCACAAGAGGCTGAGCCAATGGACGTTGACACCACAGACCATGTGAGTGTTGCATCCTCGGACCGACGACCCAAGGCCAAAGCCCGACCGCGACGCGGAGGCGAAGCCGTACGGGGTGATGTGGTCTTGATCCGTTATGAGAACAAGCACAATCTCTGCACGGATGTGGAAAACCGTCGGGGCCTACATGATGCTTGTGGCGTACCACTGCAGGAATCAGGACCAGAGAATAGCCAGCGGGTGGTGGACCTCATTGAGCAGCTTTCGGACCATCGCGACCGACGCCTACCTCAACGAGGAGACCGTCCTAGCTTTGCTTTTGACGATACCACTCAGGGCTACACCAATGCAGGCTATGAATGCATCGGCGGCGGAAGGCCAATCCGGTGCGGGATTCTCGACCTGATCCCAACCAAGGGTGCAAGCTTCATCAACAATCGATGGGACATCGTGAACGAAGTTGTCCTTCGCAACATCACCCGTCAGCGCAGACTAAACGCGGATTGGGCGCTATCATGCATCCAATCTGACCTGCGTCACAGAATCGCCAGGCGCCCAGGCTCGGAATGGCTTGACAACAGGTGCCAGGTAGCATTCAGCAGCGTCATTCGATGTGATGAAGGAGGGTGGGTGCTGATCGAAGACTTGGTGAGGCATGAGCAACTATGGACCCATGAAAGCAGACGCATCACCGAAGCGGTCTCATGGTCCGATGAGCAACAGAGGAAGAGAGTGTACAATGAAAGACTTCAGCTATTGTTCCAAGGGAACATGCTCGCAGCCACGAAACGCCACAAGGCCAAGATTCGGTTGCAGTTCCTGGGAGTGAGAGTGAAGGACCCCGGCGTGGAAACTCTTGGATCCGCAGGTTCGAACATGTTGGTATCGGTTCCTGACCAGATCACGGAGATCCAGAACAATGATCGTTGCCGGCACAACCAG